TGCCCGTGGAATCAGTGTTTCTAACTTGGGCTGCTGACAATTCTCAGGAAAGATTCTCAAATCTGTACTTGGTCTCTTGTTGTTTCTCTGTGCATGTTGATCCTCTCCTGGTATTGTTTAGGAAGAGTTCAAACTCCTCTTGAAAGGTCTGAGATCTCCATGATCACTTACCTTGATGGTAGTTTGTCATGGTCCTGTGGCTGGGATTGAATCAAGGGACTCTCAACCTTGAAGTTGGTAAGCAAGCTAGAAACCTGGTTGCTAAATTTCAGCCTAGGCGGCTTATGATGAGTCTCCTTAAGAGAATTTCAAATCTTAGACTGAACCTCTTAATTTTTAGGTTTACTAGCCAATACTTTTATTAATCATAATAAGCATTGTTATGGGAAGCTATTATACTTCTATCTCTATTGGATTACTGAGATTTCTAGACCCTGTTTCACTAATCATCCTAGATAAGATTTTCAGAATAAATCATCCTAAATGTTTCTAGACCTGCCACAATCCTGCGTTATCTTGCTGCGACTTCCTTTCCTGTGAATCATGTGGGAATAAACTATTCCTGCATTAACTTCTTCGCTTGTCAGCGGCAGTATCCATGACAAACTTATTACTTCATTCCCAAATAAAATGGAAAATTTTCACCACAAGAGTTTTGTCCTTTCATGAAATTATCTTACCTGAACTTATAATTTCTCATTATTTTCACCAGTTCCTGAATCTGGGTCAGCTTCAACTTTCTTGCTCTAAAGGCAAAATATGGCCTACCTAGTTTTATGGAATCTAAAAGTAAGTTAGAAGACCAAGAAATTTGCATCTAACAATCTGCTGCTTACTGCCGAAACATTTTTCTTACTGTTCTCACAGCGATGCAGGCACCTTGAAAACAAATCATGGCCAGGAGATTGTTTCTTTCTATCATGAATCTGTTTTTTTCTATCATGAATCTGGTATCTCATTTGATTATGATATATCTGTTTGTCCTAATATCGAAATAAGACATTTGCTTGACAGCCACTGTGAGGATCTTTTCGCTTTAGCAAAGATGTTCATTTAAGTTGCCATTTTTTCGTTTTATTCCATTTTGACTCAAAGTGGACAGCAGAACCACTACCTGTTTTCTTGATATAGATAGTTCAAATTGTTCCAATGCATAAATATTTTTTTTTAAAAAAGCTTTGGCTTCCTATTACTCCTTTAATTATGAGGCTTCATATGTACAGGTTCTTTGAGGATGATTCAAGCTGTTGTCCCTCACATGGCATCTAGGAAAAAGGGAAAGGTTGTGAATGTTGGAAGTGTTGCTGCTCTGGCACCTGGACCATGGGCTGGTGTCTATACTGCCTCAAAAGCTGCTCTTCATGCCCTGACTGATACCATGAGGTTCCATAGAATTTGACACATTTGCTCTTCTGTTATTGCTTTGAAGAATTTTCTTGAATCCCTCTAGTGGGATGGCTTTGTCCTCTGACGTATTAAGCATAAGTTATAATATTATTGGAAATGCTGGATTCTGCCTCATTGAGTTAAATCAATAGAGAGCATTCTAATGTAGGTCCAATGGGGGGTTATTTAGCAGTTTTTTCTTTTACTGAATTCTGAAACAAGTATCAGAAATCATTATAACATCTTTTCTGGTATTTACCCTTGTTTAGAAGTATGATTTGAAATGAAATGATAGCTGCAGGGAACTAGATCACTTTGTTTGTTTTCCAGCTTGAAGTTTATTTGTTTAGGTTCTAATTTCAGTCAGGAACAGTATAAGCTCATTGCGACCTTGTTATATGCAGATTGGAACTCCGACATTTTGGGATTGATGTCATTAATGTTGTCCCTGGAGCTATTAGGTCAAATCTAGGAACAAGTTCCATTGCCAGCTTCAACCAGATGCCTGAGTTGAAGTTATACAAGCCCTTCGAAGCGGCAATCCAGGAGAGAGCATATTTTTCACAAAGATCCAAGCCCACTCCTACAGATGTGTTTGCAGACAATACTGTAACAGCAGTACTAAAGAAAAAACCCCCTGCTTGGTTTGCATCTGGTCAATATTCCACAATGATGGGTATTATGTATCATTTGCCACTTTTTGTGAGGGATTTTATCATTAAGGTGGCCATGAAAGGTTGATCTCCCATGGCACTAAGGGTGATGTATTGAGTCTGTTATTGTATAAATGTTCTTTAACTGATACTCCCATGTCCAATTCTGACGGAAGTTGTTAGTGTCAATAAAGTTTGGAGCAGCCGGCAATATTGGTTCATGGCTGCAGGTAATGTGTTTCTTTTAGTTTGGTTGCCTAGTGTAGCCTATATATAAATTTGATGATGGTAATTGGTTATCGTGAACATGTATTGATCATTCAATCAAGGAGAAGACTTAAGAAGACTTGAAGTAATACCCAAAGGCTCAATTATTTAAATGAAAAATTATTTTGTACAATTGATGAAATATTAATGTCATATTACATTTTTATCAACGGTATGAATTAGATTTGATTCTATAAATTGTATTGGTTTTCAGTAAGCTATTATTGTACTACTAAATCTGTATGTTTCTATTTAAAAAATAATAATTTTTGTCTGACGTAGATTTGAACTCCTTGGGAAAATAATTCATGCTGGCAAAAAAACTTCAAAAATTGATAGGGTTAGTTTATATGATTTAGCCACCTTTATGTTTGGCAAAATATATGTTGCTAAACCTTCATATTTATGTTCAATAACCTTTATTTATAGTTAAAATCTACATTCATTATATATAAATCTTGCAGATGATTAAACTTTCATATTTATGTACAATAACCTATTTAGTTATATGATGGGCTACAAAATTATAGTCTACTTTCACAAAACATGTTTGGAGGGCGTGTAATTTGGGCTTCAACTGAAAAAAAAAAACCCTTAAATAGGTAATGGGTGTGCTCGAATTGTTGGATCCAACAATAATATAGTAAAGAGATCAAAATCACTATAAATTGTCATAAAATGGAGATCAGAATTGTGTATTTAAATGTGTCTTTTATTCTTTGCTGTTGTTTAACTAATACTTGAATCCAAGTATAGAGTGACATTTCTAATTGTATGCATGAGAAATCCCTAGGGTGATGAAAACCATACTATTCAGGTAAATGGACAATGCACAATGCAATAATAGCTAGTTATAGGTGGTTATTTCACTATAACACAATACACATTATTTGTGCATGAATTCCAACCCAAGTAATGTCTTTATCAAGATTCTCAAAAAATACAATTGATATCTTTCTCATAGTTGAGAATGTAAGAGGTCCTAAAATGTGCTATAGGATGAAAATTTGCATGCATTTTGACAGATGGCTAATTTTATACTCATTATATATCCATTATGAATTAAGATTTGTTTATTCACCGCAAATTTTTATGTCAATCTGTCTCTGGTTTGTGTAGGAAGAATGGTTACATATGCGATTGTTTATGCTACTGTCATGGAAAAGCTGACTTGTATGAGTTGAGTATCCCATCTATTGCCATGGGTTTTGGGATCCGAATTATCAAAATTAGACTTTTGGTAGTATGCTCTAATAACATAAATCTAGGTATAGACAGTATCCATGGATCAAGCTAGATACTATTTTGTTATTGGCTACAGTCTTGTATAAACTTTGTGAAAGAAAATGTCTAACTTACATAAAAAATTTCTAAATTAAATAGTCTAAAGATTTAGTATATCCTAAGTTATAAGGTGCCTATTTAAGGCATTTAGACTAGAGTATTTGGGTCCATAACTTGTCTGATTATACTAAGAATGATCACACTAACTTTTTCACTAGTGTTATACTCATTTCTTAATATGCCAAAAACCTAATCCTCTATAGTTTTTAGGAAGGCAAAGCTCATTCTAACTATTAGAGTAAACATATAAGGTTGAAAATGCTTTGGATTCCACCAAAACCTCATAGCCATACAATTAATGGCTGAGTAGATAAATCTATCTATGAGCCAAAGGGAAATAAAATACATAGGCGTACTATTAAGCATTAACATGATAAAATAACTCATATTATGCGGTAATATAATGTATTTTCAGCCCACCAATTTATTGTGCATTTTCACTACCAGTTCCTTGAATTTAAATCTTGACCTGGATTGACGCAGGATACATAAACAAAGACACCTTGCGTTAGATTACATTTTCCTTAGGCCCAGTTATCCTTGTAATGGTCTTTTTTATTGGACATACAAATTAAGGTTGAAATACATAGTCGATTGCTGCATATTTGAAGCTTGTCTCAACCATTTACAATATGTATAGATTCTTGCATTTATGGAATGGATCTTTGTCGATGTAGCATTTCCAAAGCAAAAAGATCTTCTATAAATAGAAGATGTGTGATAACTAAACTTTTTAGGTGTAAAAGTCATGACAAGGCTTGAGCATACAAGATAAAAAGATAAGAGGAAAGTGAATCTCTTTACCTCAAATCTCTCAATGATAGCAACAAGAGGTATATGAGCTCATTAACCAATACCCAAAAACTTATTATGGTCATATGTTTTAAAATGATATGACAGCTAAGTTCCAAAAATCCTAGCTAGGATAATATAAACATCACAAAATCTCTCAATTCAGTCATAAGTCTTTTCCATCTCATGATTCATAGCAAAACAACCATGTTTCCTTTTTTTTGTGTTGAATATAGTGTATCAACTCCTAAGTAATGATAGAATTCTCATATATAAACTGAACTTTGAGAAATGCTGCTTAGTAAGGGGAAATAATTTTTTATAGAATTGTAAGAAATTTTTATGCTAAAGTTATTTTTTTATTGAATTCAACACACCTTAAGAAAAAAAAAATAACAAAAAAATAAAGCTACATACCATTCTAAAATAATACAGTCATAACGTGATTGAGAGACCTTTTGAAAAAAAATATTAATTCTCTGACTCACTTCTTCTCTCTATATAACTATCATGCACAAAAATTTAGAATTTTAGTTTATGAAAGACACATTGAAAGAAGAATTTGTGTTTCTTTTATATATGAGAAGGGAAGCCAAAGCACATTCAAGGTAATTAAATGTGTTGACAACCATTTCTATTATTGTAAATTAATACCATAAAATACAATAATTTTATAATTTATTTTAAGATTATCCACTCCATCAAAGGTACATTTTTCTTTATAACAATTATCTATTATTTTGGGTGTCTTTCAAGTTGACTTTAACCGTTATAAGTAAATAAAAAAATACACACTAGTTAGTGGATCATTCACTTAATCGCTGAAATTAACATTCTCCCCACTTGACCTGTAAAACTGATTATGAAAACTATAATAATATAATATTTTTGCTAAAA